AGAATGATTGCTGGGTTGAAGAGATGGCTTGGTGGTTAAGAGCACTTGTTCTTGAAGAGAATCCAGGTTCAATTCCCAGCATATAACTCATATAACAAAAGCTTTTCTTTTGCAGGTATTTGAGTGCATGTTCTCAGTATGTGTGTTTACATATGTGTGGGCTTATGTCTGTGGTGGGTGAGTGTGCACGTGATGCATGTGAGGGCCCAAAGGTGTGGTATCCAGGTGTCTTTCCCTGTTGCTCTTTGTTTCTGTTTATTGGGACAAGGTCTCTTCTTATGTGAACCTAGATTGTACCAAACAGCTAGTCTAGCTAGCCAGCTTTCTTAGAGGATCTTGTTTCTGCCTGCCATGCCTACCTAACTTCTGTGTGGGTTCTGGGGATCAGTATTCCGGTTTTCACACTTTCAGGGCAAGCATTTTTTCCATGAGGCATCTCGCAGCACTAATGAAAACTTTTTATAGAGGGTGGGTAGAATCACTAAAAGCCCATTGCTGTCTGTTAGTAAGGTTCTATATAGCATGTAAAGATCTCATCACTTGTATCAATTTTTTTGCTCAAAGAGCAATGTTGGGTACAACAGTTGCATGGGTGACTAGTCTTCCATAATCCACAGTCATTTCTATGAGCATCTTGGGTGCTGATGTACACCTTCCCACCTCTGATGACCTTGGCTGGGGCTGAGTGCTGGTTAGCTTGACTCCTGCCCAAGGGAAGCAGCGCTGAAGTTTTGCCTGCTGTGCTACCTGTTGGAGCTGCCTCTGATTCTAGCAGGCTCTGGATCAGCACTCTGGCACTTACTTTTCCATTATTAGACTGTTGAAAGGATTCTGGCCTGAATGAACCAGCTCCACCTGCAGTCTATTTTCTCGCAGGGGAGAAGTGGACACCACATTCTCTGTCCACCTCTGAAACAAGCTTAATATTTTTTTTAGTTCTACTTTTTTTCTTTTTCTTTTTTTTTTTTTTTTTATGAATGAGGCAATTTATTAACCCAGCATCCTTTGTTCTAATGCTTCTTGTTGGCAGCTGCCACCTGTCCGGCAATCGTGTCCAGATCTCTCTGTCCCTGACGTGTTAGCTTGCGGCCCCCGTCCTGGTCCTTTTCCACCATTTTCAGTCCCTCCAGGACTTGGAGAACGCGGCGGGCCACACTCTTGGAGCTTCTGCTGAAGTGGCTGGGCCTGACACCGTTTCTCTGCCGTCCTCCATAGATCTTGGTCATGGAGCCAGCCCCGGCACCACCACGCAGGTACAGGTGCCGTGCTGTAGAGGCAGCTCGCGTATGGAACCAGTTCTCATCATAGGGGGCAAGCTCTTCATGTTTGGCCAGCTCGACTGTGTCCACCCATTCGGGGACTTTCAGCTTCCCGGACTTTTTGAGGAAGGCTGCCAGAGCTCTGACGAACTCCTGCTGGTTAACGTCTTTTACAGTAACTTCAGGCATCGTGCGGCCTCCGCGCTGCTAGCCAGGGGAAAGGCTACTTTTTTTTCTTAAGTCATTGATGCATTCTGTGAATTTTTGCTTGGGATTTAAAAGTTCCCTGGCACCACATTTTTTTGTTGTTAATTTTTTCACTAATAACTCTTTTCTTTTTTTTTTTTTTGTTTTTCGAGACAGGGTTTCTCTGTGGTTTTTGGAGCCTGTCCTGGAACTAGCGCTTGTAGACCAGGCTGGTCTCGAACTCACAGAGATCCGCCTGCCTCTGCCTCCCGAGTGCTGGGATTAAAGGCGTGAGCCACCACCGCCTGGCCACTAATAACTCTTGTCAACACAAGTCTTGCCACTTTTGCCTTATAATGTCCTGGACAGAACCCATTCTTTGTTTTTTCTCTCATTCCTATTTGAATGCTTTAGTATCTTACAAACTAAATATATGTATATGCCTATTAAAGTACATCTTCCAGGGCTTCTCCTACTTCATAAAGATCTTATCCAACCGTGGGATTCAATAAAACCACAAAAGCCCCATGCCAGTTCTGAGTACCTGCTGAAATAAATATTTTTTAAAATGCTTTACAGGCTTGTGGGTTCCAGTGATTGAACTCAGGTTGTCAGGCTTGTGAGGCAAAAGCTTTTACCTGCTAGTCATCTCACTAGTCCTTCTTTCTTTAAAAGTTTTTTATATTTACGTGTGTGTGTGTGTGTGTACACAGTAGTACACATTCAGAGGTCAGAGGACCTCCTACCATGTGGATCCTGGGGGTTAAACTCAAGTGCTAGACTTTCTGAGCCATCTTGTAGTGCTTTTGGACCCCAGTAGACTGGACATCAAAGCCTGCCTTTCTCATGCCTAATCCCTCAGTAATGTCTGTCCCTCTGTTGTCTTCCAGGAGCCTCAGCCTGTAATAGCCAAGTGTCCCTAATGACTCACGCATGTGAGCCAGTCCATCAGAAGCTTTATTTCCCTTGTATTGCCTTAATATTCTGCAGCCTTTGGCTCAAGGGAGAATGGGTAGTTGTTTTACTAAGTTTTTCTGCTTGCATGGCACTTGGACTGATCACTTCACCCCCATGTCTGTAGTCTCTGGCTATAAGAAACTCTTTCATTTTCTGTTTAAAAGTCTTCCTCCAGTCCAAGAGTTCAGATGGCAGAATATTCCCTAATTACCATAGTTTCCTATTCAGGGCCATGATTCAGGCCTCTGATTGCACACTGAATCATGGACTTTTTCCCCTTCCTCTATCTTGAAGGTCAGACTTGAGGGGCATCTTCTCACTTCTGTGTTCCTCTTCTACACTCCAGTTCTTCCCAATGGTTCCAAGTTCTTGGATCCTAGACAAAGAGCTTCAGATCTGACTTGTATTCTTTCCCTTGTATCCTGTCAGCTGTAAGACCTGGCAAGGTAGCATCTCCATCTTACCCTCACCCTTTACTGCTAGATCAGAGGCTGATGTAGAGGACAGCCCTGCCTTTTGTTTACATAGGCAAGTTCTTTGGGGCAGAGAGCTGAGCCTCAGTTGCATATCTTCTTGCCCACACTAAAGTCTGTACAATAGCTGCTACACCCTGTTTAAGGTTTACTTTCAGAGACTGCAGTGTATTCTCTAGTATATCAGTGGCTTGGAAACATCCTCAAATGTACATGGTGGTCACCCTTTATTAAAGAAGCTTGCCACCCCATATTATATACTGTATACTGGGATTCCTCCCTAAGGACACTTCAGTCTTAGATGGTGTGGCTTTAATCAGATGTCATATCACCCATTGCAGGACATGTGTAACTGCCAGTATAGTAACGAGACATACTATGCCATTCTATCTAGGGAAAGATAGCCATGTCAGGATTGGCCCTGTTCCACTCTAAGACAGATCAGCCCCAGTTAACATGTCTCCTCACCCTCATCATAGGGACCATGCAACCACTCCTCCTCCCTACTCCTCTTTGGTTCTCTTGGACCCTGTTTGGGTACCAGTTATGTTGTGCAACTTTTCTTGGGGGCGATATGAACAAACATTTGTCCTCCCTAAGGGTAGGTTACTTAAAACAAGCCAAAGAAATGATTCTCCGACTAGTTGGTGAACCAGAAAGTTTGTGTGGGGTTACTATGGTAACATAGGTGACCTAAAGGCAGCTACATCACAGAAAAGCCCACCCTAGCACTGGTGATGACTTCCCAAGCCTGCACTCCTGCACAGCTTCACTAAGCCTGACCCGACTGTCTCCCCAGCAGTTATTTACTGCGTTGATGATCCTGTGTGTGTAAATCCTGAGCTTCGTGAGAACAGGAAGTTTTTTCAACTCTTTGAGTCTGGTAAGACTCCCTCCTTCCTCCAGGAGGAAGTAGCCACATGGCATCTTCCATTTGTGAGTACTGAAGACATTTAGGATGCAGACTTAACTTCTGCATGCTGCAGGAATCATCAGATCCTTCAATACCCATCGCTATCTGCCTGTTTATTCTATTGTTTTTGGTTTTGCCTGTTTATTGTTTTTAATTTTGTGCTTCTGCCTTGTACATACCACAAGCTACACCGTTTCTTTGTGTAACGAGTTGCTGAGAATACTCACATGCTTTTACCAGTTCATTTGCTCATTTCACTCCCTCTTTCATTCTGTGATTGTTTTTTTCATTTCCTAATGTAATTTCTTTAAAAGCATAAGAGTCTATAAACTGAAATTCTGAGTCTTCCGCATTTGCCTATTATTATTATTGTTATTATTATTATTGGAACTGAGAATTAAACCTGGATCTCATCCATGCCCATGTACTGCACCACTTCATGACACCCTAGTCCTTTAGAATTTGTTGAGCTAGGGCAGGATTTCAGTGGGAGTTACTTAGTATACTGTTTTTTATTGCCCTTGCCTTACTTTTTTGTTGTTGTTGCTTTTATTGTTTTAGGGCTTTTTTTTAAAACCAAAGATTACATGTATGGGGGTTTTACCTGAATATGTGTGAGTGTACCATGTGCCTGATGCCCACAGAGCCCAAAAGGGGCATTGGATTCCCTGGAACTGGAGCTACAGACTGTTGTTAGCCACCACGTGGGTGCTGGGACTTGAACCTGGGTCCTCTGTAAAAATAGTCAATGCTTTTAACAGCTGAGCCGTTGTCTCCAGTTCTGTTGTTTTGTTTTTTGAAACAGGGTTTGCCCATGTATCTGTGGTTAGCCTCAAACTGAAGATCATCCTTTCTCAGTCTTCTAAGTGATGGGATTATAGGCATGCATCACCATGCTTGGCTTGGTCAGCCTTTCCTCATGATATATCTGAGTATGGAGTTTCTTTTGCCGGTTATGGAGATGCAACTAGTTGTATAGATTGAAGAGGTAGAGATAGGAGAGTCATGAGTTTTAGGCCAGCCTACACTGTACCTTTTCAAAATTTTTTGTTTTGCGACTGGAGAGATGGCTCAGTGGTTAAGATTGTTTGTTGCTTTTGCAGAGGACCAAGGTTCCATTCTCAGCACCCATGTGGTGGCTCACAACCATCCATGACTAATTCCAGGGGATCCAATGCCTCTTCTGACCTCTGTGGGTACCAAACACAGACACAGTAAACAAACATGCAGGCAAAACATTCATACACATAAAACAAAGAAATATTTTTAAAAGTTTCTTTTATTTCTGAAAAATTACAGCCAGTATTTTCCTCCTTATATTAAGGCATATAAATCTTTTTGTTGTTCTCATTTTTGTTTTGAGACAGGTTATCACTATATGGCCCTGGCTGTCCTAGGTAGATTGATAGTCTTTAACTTTGAGATTCTCCTGCCTCTGCCTTCCTAAGTACTTAGATTAAAGGTGTGTGCTACCACAACTGGCCCATATCATGGAGTATATATAATGTATAAAATTAGGGATCTGATATAAGAAAAATCCATTCAAAGATTTTTTTAATAAGTTACAGGGTCTGTTGGTACACTGTCGTCATGTCCAGCGTCTTCCTCTATTGCTCTCCACCTTATTTTTTCAGACGGAGTCTCTCACTGCACTTGGAGTACTGATTTGGCTAGGCTGGCTGGCCAGTGAACTCCAAGGGTCTATTTGATTCTGTTTCCCAGCACACATGCCTCGGCACTCAGCTTTTACTCAGCTACTGAGCACTAGAACGTGGGTCTTCATACTTGTGCTAAAGGTACTTTACTGACTGAGCTGTCTACCTTTTATCAAACAGAGATCATGGACTGGTGAGCTGGCTTAGTGGATAAAATGGCTTGTTACCAAGCCTGACAAGAGTTAGGTCCTTGGAACTCACATCGGTGAACGGAATAAAAGACTCTTAAAGGATGTCCCTTTTGCACGTGCACATGAGTACACACACACACACACACACACACACACACACGCAATATGAAAAACATTTTCTGGTTTGGTTTCTTAGAAGTAGAACATTAAATATACCTTATGAGGTATCTATCAGTTTAGTGTATTAATATGAGTATATTTTATACATTGTAATTTTGGTAAGTTATAAATGCACATATAATATGTATTATGCATTATGAGCAAGTTGGATAGCCAAAGAATAATGTGGTAATTTAAGTCATAATCAAAGTGCCTCTTTTTATATGTCTCTTCGTTTAATGGATTGATTACATGGCTGGTGAGTTACTGATCATTCTTGTTATATGAATGTGCTTTTAATTAGCAATACATGGGTTGCTTTAACACACATAACTTCTTTCATTTCAGAAAACTCAGGTTCCTGAATCTCAAAAACCCAGACCAAAAAAAGGTCTGTATGTAATATTTATATATAATATATATATGTACCTGTTTCTTTGTCTTATTGATTCTATTATATATATAGCAGAGCTTTGTAAAGCATGTTAGGAAATGGTTCAACCCTTACACAATATCTAGGTTTTATTTTATTCAGTTAGATTTATTAGTGACCTGTAATGTACTTAAATGTTCGTTGGTTAATATGTCAGTGTACACTAATTTTTATTTGCGTAATAAGCATTCAATTCTTTTTTTTATAATTTATTTAACTTTACTTTATGTGCATTGATGCGAAGGTGTCATATAGGATACCCTGAAACTGGAGTTACAGACAGTTGTGAGCTGCTATGTGGGTGCTGGGAATTGAAACCAGGTCCTCTGGAGGAACGGGCAGTGCTCTTAACCACTGAGCCATCTCTCCAGCCCCCTAAGCATTCAATTCTTTTTTTTTTAAAGATTTATTTATTTATTATGTATACAACATTCCTTCCATGTATGTTTGTATGCCAGAAGAGGGCACCAGATCTCATTATAGATGGTTGTGAGCCACCATGTGGTTGCTGGGAATTGAACTCAGGACCTCTGGAAGAGCAATCAGTGCTCTTAACCTCTGAGCCATCTCTCCAGCCCCCAGCATTCAATTCTTGTACAAACCAGAACTTCACTAACTTTATGCATATGTTAAATAAGTGTGCCATTTAATTTTATTTAAAAAGTTTTTTTTTTCTTTTGTTAATTTCCTGAGGGAAAAATCCATGTCCTATTTATCTTCAAGACTGACCCAAATTCACTGTGCAGCTCAAGCTGGTCTTGAATTTAAAATACTTCTTTCTCAGCCTTCTGAGTAGCTGAGATTTATGAAATTCAGTTGTAATTATGCAAGTGTCTGACATAATTATTAATATTTTATACCATTTCTGGATATGAGAATCATTCTGCTGTTACCTCATTTAATAACCGAATGATTGATCTAGTTAGTAGGGCTAGTTAGTATGTGCTGTGATTGTTAGTCCAGTATGTATTTTACCCTTTCTCTAGAGTCAGACCCATGGGTCAGTTGACCACAGGCCTAGAAGATGACTGTATGTCAACCAAGAATTAGTCCAAGGGTCAGCAAAATGGATCAGTGAGTTAAGGGACCTGCTGCCACTCTGATAGTCCAGATTTAATCCATAGGGACCCACATGGTGGAAGGAGAGAACCAACATCTCCAATATTGTCCTCTGACTTCTGTATATACAGAAGTATATATACAGCTTTGGAACATGTGTACCCACACATGGAGAGGCACAAAATAAATATAATTCAGAAAACAAGATATTTACATATTCCATGAAGAATTTAACATGGTATCATAATTATTTATGGTTAGTTTAGACATGATATGCTAAGGGAGAAGATCTAACACTGATTATATTGTTTGTTATGTCAAAAAATACTTTCTAGCTCCAGAGTTTCCTATTGTGGAGAAACAGAACTGGCTGATCCATCTCCACTATATCCGGAAGGATTATGACGCATGCAAGGTGAGGGATTGCGGCAATGGAGGGATGAGAGGCAGACTGGGCCGGCAGTGCCCGCAGCACAGCGTGGCAGGGAATGTCTTGAATTTGCACCCCCTACAGCACCCTAGCCGAGTCCATGTGATTTGCTGATCTGCAATGGTACTAGCTTCACTAATCAGATTTGAAATAGGGGTTGAGAAAGTTTTTCTGTCATGAACCAGATAGTAGCTTAATTAATTTTTTTTTTTTAAAGATATGGTCTCACTTTGTATCCCTGGCTAACCGGGATCTTCCTAAGTAGACCAGGCTGTCCTCGAACTCACAGAGATTCACCTGCTTCTGCCTCCTGAGTGCTGGGATTAAAAGTGTGTTTGCCTTCACGCTAGCCCAAGACAGTAATGTAGATTTTACAGTCACTGTGGTCGTCATCTCATATTTGTCACCGTTTCGTTGGTTTTGTTTGAAACAGGGTTTCATGTAGCCCAGATTAGTTTCAAACTCAGTAGTTAGTAGGGTATGATTTCTTGATCTTGTCTTCACCTCCTGAGTTCTGGGATTGTAGGCATGTGCCACAATTCATGGCTCCTTTTTAAAATAATGCAAAAACAGAAAACTTGAAACATTTTTAAATATATGTGTGCGGATGCTTGCCTACATGTATGTCTGTGCACCACATGCAAGCAGTGCTGGAGGAGGCCAGAACATGGCATCAGGTACTGGAGTTACAGACAGTCATGAGCTGCCTTTTAGGTGCTGGTAATTGAACCTCAGTCCTTTGGAAGAGCAACACGTTCCCTTACTGCTGAGCTGTCTTTTCAGCCCTAAAAGTATTCTAAATGAGGGATATACAGAAATATGCCAAGAGCCCTCGGTTTGCTAGCCTCATTCTAAAATAAGTGATGGTAAGAAAAACAAAACTCTTGAAGGAGCTACCTGACTAGTCAGCATTAGTATCCTAGGTATCTCATCCATGCCTTTGCCTATTTCTACTGTTTTCTTGGCAACACTTAATCACTACTCAAGTGTTCTTCTCTTTTAGGCTTTGATTAAAGAACAGCTTCAGGAGACTCAGGGATTGTGTGAATATGCGATCTATGTCCAAGGTAAGACATATTGTTTCTTTCCTTACTGAAAAAATATATTTAGTCTAGGTTCTTTTTTTTTCTTCATTTATTTATTATGTATACAATCTTCTGCCTGTGTGTATGCCTGCAGGCCAGAAGAGGGCACCATACCCCATTACAGATGGTTGTGAGCCACCGTGTGGTTGCTGGGAATTGAACTCAGGATCTTTGGAAGAGCAGGCAATGCTCTTAACCACTGAGCCATCTCTCCAGCCCTAGTCTAGGTTCTTGGGAAATAAAACAACCAAGCAACTTAGGAAATACTTAAATTCAGATACTGTCTCACAAAAGACGTATTCACTATCCTTTGAAATTTGAACACAATTCTGTGTGTGTGTGCACATGCACCTGGAGCATGACACCAGGGAATATTTTTTTAAGATTTATCTATCTATCTATCTATCTATCTATCTATCTATCTATTTATTTATTATGTATGCAGTGTTCTGCCTGCATGCACACCTGCAGGCCAGAAGAGGGTATCAGATCTCATTAGAAATGGTTGTGAGCCACCATGTGATTGCTGAGAATTGAACTCAAGACCTCTGGAAGAACAGCCAGTGCTATTATCCTGACCCATCTCTCCAGCCCAAATGTTTTTTATTTTTAAATATATGTTAAAATTATTGTTTGACATGTTTGACTGTTTTGCCTACATGTATGTCTGCCTACATGTTCATGCCTGATGCCTGTAGAGGCCAGTAGAGAGCATTGGGTCTCCTGGAACTGGAATTACAGATGATTGTGAGCCACCATGTGGATACTGGGAATTGAACTGAACTCTAGTCTTCTGCAAGAGTAACAAATACACTTAACAAATTGAGCCACCGCCAGCCCTTCAAAGTATTATTATTATTATTATTTTGGTTTTCTGAGACAAAGTTTCTCTATGTAACAGTCCTGGCTGTCCTGGACCTCACTCTGGAGACCAGACTGGCCTCAAACTCAGAGATCTGCTTGCCTCTGCCTCCCAATTGCTGGGATTAAAGGCGTGTGCCACCACCAACCACCCAGCCAAAATATTATGAAGAATTTCTGTGATTTGCAAAAAGATCAGTTATCTGGGTAAGATGCTGGGAGCAAGGGCAGGTGGAAGTTAGCTCATTACAGGGTTACCTTACTGACACTTTGCTCGCTTCTGCTCATTTGGTGATAAGTTATTCAAAGTTATTCAACCCTTTCTCTGATGTGGAATCTTTCCTCCTGCTCCAGTTATTCTGATGCCATCCTCTTCATCCAAGAATGTGGTTTATTTTCTGTATTTTCTTTTGCTTGGCAGCACTGATTTTCCGCCTGGAAGGAAATATCCAAGAATCCCTAGAACTCTTTCAGACGTGTGCTGTTCTCAGCCCTCAGTGTGCTGATAATCTCAAACAGGTGGCCAGATCTTTGTGAGTATTGGAGCAACCACAGAGGACCACATAAAATGCTTTCTCCTGGGCTAGGCAGTGGTGGCGCATGCCTTTTATCCCAGCACTGAGAAGACAGAGGCAGGTGGATCTCTGTGAGTTTGAGGCCAGCCTGGTCTACAGAGTGAGTTCCAGAACAGAGAAACCCTGTCTGGAAAAAAAAAATTAGAAAAATAAAAAGGCTTTCTCCTGAAATGCATTCTAGGGAGAACCTGTTGCTGGCAGCCAGATGCCTGAGAGGTGGGAGGCCAGTGAATACTAAATAGTAGAATGGGCTTCATTTTGGAGACCATGGATTAATCTGGAAGTCAGCTAATATTAAGGAACTTAATTAGTCTTTTTGTTGGATGAAAACACTGTTTGTCATAGTGTGTTATACCATAACTCTTCTGTAGTCATATAAGCAACTTATAGCCTGTTTTGATAATTAGTGGAGTATTTGACATATAATAAGCTTGTGGTATTTTGAGTGAATGACCTGCAAATTCCTAAATGGAAACACTTCTGAAGTCTTCATAAACTTTCAGAGTAGTCCAGTGTTCTATGCAGTGCCACCTCCATGTTCCTCCCTACATTGCCATTCAGACTTGCATAGTTTTTACATAGAAATCATTTTTTTCCTTCAAACTCATGATCAAGGAAAGAAATTTTGATCCAGGAGGGAAAGACTTGCCCTTATTGGATGATGTTGATAAATAATGGCAGCTTGTGCTTAATGGCAAATCATTTGACTTTTTTTTTGTTTATTTTTATAGAATGTATAGGAAGTTATAGTGGTATATTATTTGTGTTTTAATAAATGAAACTTGCCTAAAGATCAGAGAGCAAAGCAGCCATTCAACTTATAAAGAGAACTGACTGGATCCTTCCTTGCATTGTATGGGACACACCAATAACTGGAACCCCTATATTCTATAGTGATGCAAATAAATCAGGAAAGGCAGGTTACAAATCAGAAAATTTAAGTAAAGTAGTTCAAAACCCTTATGATTCTGTCAAAAAGTCAGAAATATATACTCTTCTCATGGTACTAAGGGATTTTAAAGAACCTCTCAACATTGGTACTAATTTGCAATATGCAGAAAGAGTTGTTTTGCATGTTGAAACCACTGAATTTATACCACATGATACAGAATTGACTTCATTATTTATTCTGTTACAAGATACAATCAGGAATAGGAATCATATCATATTCATAACACACATCCAATATTTGATCAGCTATAACTTGCCAAAAGACAATCTCTTCAAAGTTAGGATTGGGGAAGGGTTTTGTTTCTGTCTTTTTAGGAGAATAAAGGTATGCAACTAAAAAATCAAAAGACCACTGAACAGATGGGCCATCTGAAGAAAATGGACAAATCACCCAGAAAAAATATCCCAAGAAAAAGAGTAAATTGGCCTATTGGTGTATCACATTTCAAATAGGATAACATTTCTTAAATCTTCCCAAATGTTTGTTTCTGCTGTTCTCTACAGACATATAATGCAAATGGTCTTTTGGTAGTCCCAGTCCAATTAAAGATTAAACCTGTCTTTGGAGTTGGAGTGTGGCTCTCTCCTTCTCTAAACCCAAGCACGCTTGTTAAAGTAAAATTCAAAATCTCTGTCTCATGTCAGAAGAGCCACCTGATAAGGGACAGAAGAAAAACAAAAATTTAAGAACTATTTTATTGCCACTAATCTCATAATCTTTTGGTTTTATATTGACTATCAGCTTTTCTTAAGGTATAAGTTTTGTAAGATTTATATATATATATATACACATATATATTTAACATATAAATATATATATTAAACTTTTTGTCATGATATTAATGATCATATAGAGTACTAACTAATTCTAGAAAAAAGGTTTTATCTACCTTCCTGTACATGATTTTGGGTTTGAGTCCCTATCAGTTTTCTTCAATGAACCATGAGCCTAACAGCAAGTGACCTTTGAAGTTTCCAAAAGGAGGATGGGGCCCCACAACAACAATTCCTCCAGGACTATGATAACATCACTGAGTTGAAAAACACTATCTAAAGATTGGCTTTGGACTACAAACTATTCAGAACAATTTTGAGGTGGCTGGCTGAGAAGATCCAGCCTCACAGACTACTCTAGCCAGGACTTGAGACCAGCCCTGCACTTTCCCATTACACAGAGAACGGACAACAAATGATAGAGCTGCCTCTCCCAGGACTTGACAAGTATCCTAAATTTTTCTCTTCAGGATCTACAGTCACCCCAGACAGCAGGAAGTAAATTTAATAATACAATACTCATACGAAAAGAAAAAAAAGGGGATACATATGATACGATAAAAGGTAGATTATCAAATCTACTCTGAAAAGAAAAAAGGGAAGATGTAGTAAGGAGGAGTGGGCTATGTCCCACCACCTGGCTAGCTTAACCCCCGAAATAACCACACAGAAATTGTATTAATTAAATTCCTGCCTGGCCCATTATATCTAGCCTATTCTTGGCCAACTCTCACACCTTGATCTAACCCATTTCCATTAATTTGTATTGCCACTTGACTGGCTTACCAGCATGAGTCTAACCAGCATCCATCTTCGGCAGGAGAATTATGGCGTCTGCCTGTCTCTGCTTCCCGAGTGCTGGGATTAAAGGCATGTGCCACCACTGCCTGGCTCTTTCATGGTGTATCCTATGTGCTAGGTTCATCTCAGATACCAGCTGAGTGAAGTAATTTTCTAAGGGTGTTTATGGCAATCTTTCAGGAAGGCATGGTGTATCATACCATATTGGTATAGAAGCAATCCACAGGGTCTCATCCTCTGAGAAAACAAAAGAAGAATCTCTTTTCCAAAGCATCATATCCTTAGACCCAAATTTTGAAGTAATAATACTTTTATAATATACATGCTGGTTTATCTTAGCAGCACATACAATGAAAAGTCTCTCTGTACTTAGCTCCTTCACAGTCAAAAAATTTAAAGAAAACACAATAATACACATAATCTAGACTCTGTGAATTTTCCACTTTTACATGGCTTATTTTGTTTACTTCCTTTAATCTATGATTATCTGGAGGATATAGATATGATAAGATAAAAGGTTAGATTACTAAGTCTACTTTTAAGAAGCAACTACTAGTTTTAAATATTTTACATTGGATTGGACTTTTGCATATTGTATATGAATTTTTTACTGATACAAATTTGAGATTAATTTTTTTAGAACATACTGTACATACATTTCTACTGTTGTTCAAGGTATTTATTGTACCTATACAACTCATTTAACAATGTAATGTAAATTTCTAGTCCTTGAAAATTATTATTACCAACTGTTTAGGATAATAAGAACATACAGGTTAGTAGTTAATCACCTATTATAATCAAGTTGTAGTCATATTAGATATGTTTTCAAGGTCAAACAAAGATATATTTTAGATAGACAGGTCATCTTAAGACACTTCAGAGATCTACAGAATATGGCACTTAAGATGTTTTAATAACATAGATTCTTTTTTATGACAATGAAACATATCTGCTGGCAGCATGGATCTACTTCAGAGAAAATGATAGGCAGCGAAGAAATTCCACATGGAGTTTATTTTCTTTGTGGCAAAAGTAAGCCACTGGACAAGAAAGTGCCCTTGCCTCAGCTGCTGACAGTATGCTGTCCTAATTGGATAAGCAGGGCACAAAAGAAAGTGATTGCCAAACATTGTTAAGACAAAGAGAGATAGCCCTTCAGAATATCCTGCTTCAAAGAGAAGTCTGTTGGAAGTGCTGGGCCTGTAGGCTGAAGATGGATGTCCCAACATTGCAGAGGAACTTTAGATGACTGTCCAGGCAGCCAGCTGTTCCTGTTATTTCTCATATTTTTTGGAAATCGCTTGCTTGAACTTTCTGCTTACTCAGTTAGTATTATTTCCTTCTTGTGTCTCTGAAGGAGTTGAAGATTAGATATAGTTTTCTTTGTTTACCAGACACAGAAAGGAAGCTATGCTAGTAAATTAGGTACAAGTCTTTGGACTCACCAAGATAGCATAAATATAGAGTATTTTCTCTTTTATTTGCCAAATATAAATGGACTAGACATTGTTGATGTATTTATTACTTGTATATATTGTAATTATTGCCTATAGTTATTGTATTTATTGTATATAGTTTTCATATATTAGTTATAGCCTTTTTTTTAGAGAAAAAGGGAAAATATAATGGTATATTATTTGTGTTTTAATAAATAAAACTTGCCTGAAGATCAGAGGGCAAAGCAGCCATACTAGTCAGCCATACAGACCAGGGAGTAGTGGTATACACCTTTAATCCCAGGGCTCTGGAGACAGAGGCAGACAGATCTCTGTTAGTTCAAGGCCATCATACAAGATTTAATGTATCTAAAAGAGAAACAGAGCTCACATGAAGGTGATCCTAGCACTTGGGCTCACACACCTTTATTCCTAGCACTAGCAAGGTGAAGACAGGAGTGATAAGTCTGAGAAGAGAGAGAAATATAAGGGGGAAGCGACGGGAACTCAGTGTGGAGTGTGGGCTGTTTAATCATCAGGATTCGTGGAGACAGAATCTTGCCCATTTTTGGTCTGAGGTAGAGGTAAGAGCCAGTGGCTGACTCCTTTGTTTTTCTGATAATCAGGTTGAACCCCACTATCTGGGTTTTTATTATTCATGCTACAGGAAGTAGTTCCAGAAGAGTGGCACCAACATTGGTGTGTGAGACTAAGCTTTAGAACAACTGCCAATGCAAGCCTTATCTCTGAAGGGTCTGCTCTTGGGACATGGCACTGTCCCTTGCTTTTCCCACACAACCAGCTCAAATTTAGCAAGTTTTAGCTCAATGGAATATGTGTAAAGTGTGAACTTGTAGAGTTAATCTTAGGGGAGTTTAGGTTATCTGGGTATGGCAGTACACACCTGTAATCCTAGTACTTGAAAGTGGAAACATGAGGATCAGATGTTTAAGGCCATCCTTGGTTACACAGTGAACTGGAGGCTAGCCTGAGTTACATGAGAACCTGCCTCAAAACAAACCAAAAATAATGAAATTTGAATAATTTTAGAAAATGTATTTTTACAGATTTCTCCTGGGAAAACATAAAGCCGCCATTGAAGTATATAATGAAGCAGCTAAACTTAATCAGAAAGATTGGGTAAGAAACATCATTTCTTTCTTAGCATATTAATGGTTCCATTTATCAAGTAGCTTTTTCTTTGGAGACAGGGTCCGATTATGTGTGTAGCCCTGGTTGGCCCCAGATTCATTATGTAGAGCAAGCTGGCCTCAAACTCAGAGAGATCTGCCTTCCTTCTGCCTCCATAGTACTTGGCCCTTGTCTAGAATTCTTAGATGATCAAATTGTCTTATTGATTCTGTTTTTAGCATGACATTTTGACATAACTCTGCAGGCATTGTTGTATAGTTTCCAGCTGTTAGTATTGCGGATAGTTTTTCACTGCTCTGATTCTTGCTATGATTATCCATCTGATTTCCAAGAACTTCAGGAGTTGAGTTGCTTCACCTTTGGAATTTGAAAGCATCAGCAATAGATGTCTCATCGCACATTTCATAATTTCCCTTATCTGCTTGGCAATCAGTCAGCTATTTCTTTTGCCTTTCTTTGGGTCATGGCAACTTTAAGTGGCTCTTTGAGTACTTTCCTTACACTGTCTTCCTTTTCTTTTTTTTTTTAAATTTATTTATTTACTTATTTATTATGTATATAATATTCTGTCTGTGTGTATGCCTGCAGGCCAGAGGAGGGCACTAGACCCCATTACAGATGGTTGTGAGCCACCATGTGGTTTCTGGGAACTGAACTCAGGACCTTTGGAAGAGCAGGCAATGCTCTTAACCTCTGAGCCATCGAGCCATCTCTCCAGCCCTGTCTTCCTTTTCTTATTAGTATATATTAATTGTACAAAACAATGGGTTTTACTGTGATAGTTTCTTTCTTTTTTTTTTTTTTTTTTTTTTTGGTTTTTCGAGACAGGGTTTCTCTGTGGTTTTGGAGCCTGTCCTGGAACTTGCTCTTGTAGACCAGGCTGGTCTCGAACTCACAGAGATCCGCCTGCCTCTGCCTCCCAAGTGCTGGGATTAAAGGCGTGCACCACCACCGCCCGGTTTACTGTGATATTTTCATAGCTTGACCATAGCCACTTTCCCTATCCCTTTATTTCCATCATCTGTTTATATAAATTTGGGATTATATGTAATTACAGCACAAAATCAGACTACACATTCTCTTTACAAATTAAGGTTTTTCTCCCCTATGAAAACCCATGTCACTGGTTTTGACTTTATTTGGTAGTCCTAGAATTTCAGGGCTGAGACTTACTCATAGTTAGTTAACTGATGACTGTTGCAGCTCAGAAGTATTAATTCTCAGATAAGGAGCTCAAAGAAGCTAGAAAGAGCAAGCCCTGATAGAGCCTGTGCTTCAGCCACAGCTTCTGAAAGGAAGGCTAGAACATACCTTTTGAACTGGAACTCAACTGGTTTAGGACTCCCTATTAGTAAATGGGAGACTCTCTAGAAAAGGAAAACAAGAGTGTGTCAGCTCTGTCTGTACACTAATTGTCACTTCCTATGGCTTTTAACGTACCTCTCGTTTTCTGTTATTGTATGTCCAGTGTATAGTTGGATATAAATGATGTTTTAGGTTATATGTGAACATTTTAGAGTCAGGAACATAAAGTTAGTGACTGAAACTATGAAACTGGCTGAGATAGTCCTTTGGCAGTGAGTTGAAGATGCAGTTCAGGAAGAGCAGAAAAAAAAGGTGGAAGATGAGTCAGGAGTGCTGGGAAGATGAAGCCCATCTGCTGCTCTGTGGAGCTGAAAGAGCTCACCTGGGACAGCAAACAGCCAGACACCATCTATGTGATACCTGATATGATAAATGTCTATAGGAAATCTTTTAGCTCTACTTTCTTGTACTCATCATGATATTCCACAATCCGGTTCTAACAAGGAGATAATACTCTTGCATGCAATTGTCTTAACTTCAGAATCAACTGTTAAGTAGGGAGAATTTCCACTAATGTCAAGAGAGAAATCTGAGGCTTTAGAGATGGAGTGGAATGGCAAAGGCACATAGCGAGGTAGTGGAAGAACAGAAGTAGATTGCAGCCTGCAGTGTATCATTGCTAACTATATCTGAGATCTTTCTGCAGTGTCTACTGCCTCGGCAGGATGTCCCTGGATACTGCTGTCCTTTTCTCGAAGAGATAGGATTCTGCTTTTCTTTCCACATTTCCTATGCTATTAGTTGTTTGAGGAATATTGATGCTATCTTCTCCAATATCATCCACAGCAGTGATTCACAAGGTTAGGGGTCAATTAGTGTGCAGAGCATTAATGACTAGAAAGGTGGTGTTTCTCTTGTCTGTTCATGTACTTCTATAGCATGAAGAAATGGAATATGTACAAGTTTTGGAGACAGGCTTGACTTGAAGGCACAGTCATTGGTAATGTAGGCATTATTTCAATTGTGGTTTAAGAGAAATAATTTAAAAATGTGAGACCTTTATGAGACATACTGGCTCTGTTTTTGTTTTTCAGGTAGGTTTAAAACAACTTTTTAAAAAAAATATTATTTATACAATATTCTGTCTGCGTGTATTCCTGCAGGCCAGAAGAGGGCACCAGATCTCATTACAGATGGTTGTGAGCCACCATGTGGTTGCCGGGAATTGAACTCAGGACCTTTGGAAGAGCAGGCAATGCTCTTAACCTCTGAGCCATCTCTCCAGCCCCCTAAAACAACTTTTTAAAAAATTTACTTATTTTCCTTTTGTGTGTAGGTGCTTTGGCTGCATGTATGTCTGTGTGCAATGTGGGAAGTGTTTGCAAGGTCAGAAGAGGACACTGGATCTCCTCTAAGTGAGGTTATATATAGCTGTGAGCAATCATGTGGGTACTGGGAACTGAACCCAGGTCTGTGGAAGAGTTGCCAGTGCTTTTAACTGTTGAACCATCTCTTCAGCCCTGAAGTTTTTTTTTTTTTTTTTTAAGACCATGTCATCCCTATCTTGAAAAAAAGAAAATAAGAAAAAAAAGACCTTTTCATTTGAGAAACATACTGAAATACTTGTGAGTGAAGTGTTACACTATTTGGTACTTGGTTATAAAATAATAGTAGATAGAATAAGGATTGGATGGTTGTCAGGCTCATGAGCGCGGTGTTGCTGTTTACAAACTAAAGAAAGAAGGAAAAAAAATCCTAACGCTGTCACCTTCTGTGTTAGGAAAACTAACTTCTCTGAGCTTCCATTTCCTATAAAACTAAAAAAACTATATTGATATTGTAGATTTCTTGGAAAATTAAAGCAATATATAGGAAAACATCTGGCATCAAGTCTACTGTATAATAGGTTATCTACCACTGACTGTTTCGTTGTTCTAGGAGATGTGGAACATATTAAACTAGTTGTCTGTGAGCCCTGTGGTCTGTGTTCCTGAGACAGGGTTGCATCCCTACCACTTATAGGGCCCTGGGTCCTTGCTGCCTTCCAGGAACACTTTTCATACTCCTGGTTTCTTTTCTAAAGCTGCTAAAGTCAGATTTATTACAAAGGAATTCCAGAGATTTCACAACACTTAGGTCAGAAGACAGATCAGTCTTAGAGTGAACTAGAAATAGAAACTGTCAGCAGCCAGGGTAGTCACTGTGGATTTTTGATTCATCTTTTCTGCAGGTCAGAGTTTGGCAGACTTTTTTGTAAAGGACTATTTAGTATATAGTTATTATATGTCTCTAGACAGTATTGCATCTTTTTTACACTTACAGTTACATAACTCTATAGTTTTAGTTGTGGTGTAGAAGAGCCATAGGAAGTCTGTATTCTGATAAAGTGTAATTTACAAAGGACCTATGTTATAGGGTTCATCAGATCAGCCATAGATCTGGGAAGATTCTATCTGCTCTTTTGCATCTTATAAATTTTTGAAAAATTACTTGTGTCTGGGTGTTTTTTGTTTCATGTATGTCTGTGCACCACATATATGCCTGGTTCTTGGATGCCAGAAGAGGGCATGTAACTCCCTGGAACTGGAGCTGCTATGTGGGTGTTGGAACTCAAACTCAGGTCCTCTGCAAGAACAACCAGTGCTCCTAATTGCTGAGCCATCACTCCAACCATACATTTTACAATTTTAATTAAAAAATACATTTAGGAAATTTTTTTTTGGTAGAATCATGTGTATTAATGAACACAAATACCCTCAACTACAGTCTTTAGACTGCTGTGCTCTACTGCTAACTATAGCCTAACACCTAACTACCTTCCTTTTTTTTGTGCAGGAGATCTGCCATAACCTGGGAGTGTGCTATACTTACCTAAAGGAGTTCAACAAGGTAATTCATAAAAATGGTGTTGGTGGTTGACTGGAATACACTGTGGTTCATTTGTCACAGAAGAGCCACTGTCCATTGTGTCTGCAGTAGAATTAAGTTTTACTTGAGGAGTAAAAATTGCCTTTTATAGTTACTGTCATGTTAATACTTGTCATTACTCATTTTTCCTACTTTTTTATGATTTATTTTTATTTTATGTATCTGCCTGGACTTGATTTTTTTCTTTTAAGGTCAATGAAATGAATTTAGAGTGGTTTAAATTTTGATTTATGATAAGATTTTTTTCTGATATGAATTTATATTTTGCTCTGAACAAATCTGTGCTCTAAGACTTTGACATAAGACAAAGCATGTTAAGTTGACCTTGGTTCTCAAATTAGGGAATAGATACCTGTTTTTTTCTTTAATTAAAACTGAATTTTTTTTTATTTTATTATGTCTATGGTTGTTTTGCCTGAATGTATGTCTGTGTATTATGTTGTGCTGGTTCCTTTGGAGCCTAGAACTTCAGATCCTTTGGAACTGTAGTTAACATGTGGTTCTGAGCCATCAATTGGATGTTGGGACTTAAACTCAGGTCACCTGAAAGATCAGGCAATGTTCTTAACTGGTGAGCCATCTCTTCAGCCCTATATGCATGTCTTAACTGAGGAACAGATGAATTTTTGAGAGTTCTGAAGGGTAGTGATGGTGATTAGGTAGTTTGCTTCGTGACCTGGTGAATGAGGCTTTGTTCTCCTTTTTTTTTTACTGCCACCAAGACTGACTCTTATTAATACCCACTTAACAAGGCTTTGCAAGATCACAGTAAAACTTAGTCTATCTTTCAGGGATATGAAAAAGATATCTGCATTATTAGCAATTAGAGTGTAAGAATTATTTTTTGTAAGACATAATAAAATATATATTCAGTGGGATACATAAGTTTTCTTGATGAATCTATAGTTTTGTACAGCTGATTAAATTTTCTCTCCTGAGAGTATTTTTATCAGGTACATTCCTGTTCATAGTATAACTAAGTCAGGGGAGAGGGATCTATACTAAGATGGAGAGTTATATTTAGATTTATTATAAAGCCTAATAGGCTAAAAAAACACAACACCTGGCATTTATAGAAGCCCTCATTAATCAGTGAATGAACAAAAGTTTTATACAGCCTACTAAGATGTAGGCTTCTCCAAGCAAAAAGTTATTTTATGTTTGTTCTTTGTTGTGTGGTGTTGGAGATTGAACCCAGGGCCTCCAAAAGGCAGGCACAGCCATAGCATTCTTTTCTTTTTTTTTTTTTAAAGATTTATTTATTTATTATGTATACAGTGTTCTGGGCACCAGATCTCATTACAGATGGGTATGAGCCACCATGTGGTTGCTGGGAATTGAACTCAGGACCTCTGGAAGAGCAGTCAGTGGCCAGTGCTCTTAACCTCTGAGCCATCTCTCCAGCATTATTTTCTTGCTAACTCTGGTATAGCAGGCATCTAGACCAGCAGACACTCAATGAGTACTTGTTGAATGAATAAATAAAAACAAGTTTTGTATTCATTTGTTTTCATATTTATCGAGGAAAACAAGGCCTAGCTGGAGAATGTTGTGCAGGTAGTCAGGAGTGTAGGTGGAATCGAATTTGCTGTGGTATTCTATATTGCACTATGATGTCCCTTTGGGGTTATGAAGTTGAAGTCATAGGTGTAAATGTCAATCAGAAAACATTCAAAAACTTGATTATCTTGTATGAACTCAGCAAGACCAGCTAGGCTATGCTTGGGTTTAGGTGGCAAAAGCTATTTTCTGAGACAAGGTATTCCCACATAAGAACACAAAAGGCCTGCCTTCACGTTCACCACAGAAAACCACTGTCCTCCAATGGTATTGACTTGGTTCTATTTACTCCATTAACCTTTAATTAGGCACAAGACCAGTTGCACAGTGCCCTCCAGCTTAACAAGCATGATCTGACTTACATAATGCTGGGGAAGATCCACTTACTGGAGGGAGACTTGGACAAAGCCATTGAGATCTACAAGAAAGCAGTGGAGTAAGTGTCTCTTTCTCTTAGATTCTAACCAGAATGTCTTCCCTTTTAACATTGCAACACGAAATTATCACCTACAAAGTTCACCCTCAAGAACTGCACAGTTGCATAACAAAAAATCATACACACACGAAAAAAAAAATCTTAGTTTTCTGTAAGTCTGCTATTTTTGTTGGGACACATTCATAGCTATTATGGAATGCATGCAGCCCAGGGGCACAGGTTGGGCACATCTACTGGAAGCAATGAGAAAAGCAATGGAACAGATACGTAAACTCTTAGGAGAATAGATGGTTTCTTTCTTCTGTAACAGTGTCTACTTGAGGCTGGCTGCTTTACAGGCCAACTTGGGATTTAGGTTCCTTAGGTGTTTGTTTTTTTTTCCACTTGCATGTTTAAAACTGAGTAACTAATTATAACATGTGTTCCAGGCCATATTGAAGGAAGATGATACTGGAAGCTAAATATGGAGTAAGCATCTCTAGTTTTAAATAACCCTAAAATTGTACACTTTTTGAAATTAGGTAGGAACACACAGCTGCAGGGGAAGTGGGCTGGTATGCACTCAACAAGAATTTGGGGTCAGCTGGCAGTGTGATTGTCTAGTTTAATACTTTGTAGCAGATCCTGTGTTCCTAGAGATCATATCAGGAACAGAAATCTCTTAGCGCAGTAATAGACATCTGGCTTTCTTAGTCTAAGACCAGTATATTTTGTGTTACTGATATTCTGGTTTTTATGCTGAGGATAGAAATTTTCCCGTGCTTAATCAAACACGTGCTAAAACTGAGCTGCATTCGCTGCATTCCAGTCCCAATATCATGGGTTTTGTTGTTGCTGTTTTTTTAAAACGTATCATTGGGTAGTCTAACCTTTTGATAAAGGATAACTGAATTTCTCATGCCACTGTCCCAAGTTCCCTCTCTGGGGACACATGAATCTTGTGTTTTCTGTGTGTTATTACCTTGTTTTGTTTATTTATTTTGAGATGGGATCTCAGTATGTAGCTCTGACTGCCTTGAATTTGCTATGTAGACGAGGATGGCCTGGAACTTACAGGGATCCACCTGCCTTTGCAACTGACTTGGTTCTTTTAAATAGGACAGCTGTAGTCAAATGCTCAGGTGTCTTGTTTGATCACAGAATAGACTATGTGTAACTCCTGGAACTGGTGCAATGTACTGGACACTTTTTAGCTTTGTCGCCCACAGGATGAACTTCCTGGCTATATTAATCATGGTGCTGTTTTCTGCATTTTATTTATTTATCTATCTATTTATTTATTTATTTTTTTTTTATTGAGAAAAGGAAAAAAACAAGTTTCCCCCTCCTCCCAGCCTCCCATTTCCCTCCTCCTCCTCCCACCCTTCTCCCCCTCCTCCCACCCTTCTCTCCCTACTCCTCTGTCCCTCCCTCTCCAGTCCAAAGAGCAGTCAGGGTTCCCTGCCCTGTGGAAAGTCCAAGGTCCTACCCCCTCCGTCCATATCTAGGAAGGGGAACATCCAAACTGGCTAGGCTCCCACAAAGCCAGCACATTAAGTAGGATCAAAACCCCGTGCCATTGTCCTTGGCTTCTCATCAGCCCTCATTGTTCGCCATGTTCAGAGAGTCCGGTTTTATCCCATGCTTTTTCAGTCACAGTCCAGCTGGCCTTGGTGAGTTCCCATTAGATCAGCCCCACTGTCTCCGTGGGTGGGTGCACCCCTCGTGGTCCCAACTTCTTTGCTCATGTTCTCCCTCCTTCTGCTCCTCATTGGGACCTTGGGAGCTCAGTCCAGTGCTCCAGTGTGGGTCTCTGTCTCTATTTCCATCCATCACCAGATGAAGGTTCTATGGTGATATGCAAGATATTCGTCAGTATTGCTATAGGATAGGGTCATTTCAGGTTCCTTATCCTCAGCTGCCCAAGGAACTAACTGGGGACATCGCCTTGGGTTCCTGGGAGCCACTCTAGGTTCAAGTCTCTTGCCAACCCTAAGGTGGCTCCCTTAACTAAGAATTGTGCCTCCGTGCTCCCCTATCCAACCTTCCTTTATCCCAGTCATCCTTTTTCCTCAAGTTCCCCCCATCCTCCCCTTCTCCCTTTTCTCTCCCCATCTCCCCTTACTCCCATCCCACCCCACCAAGATCCCCATTTTCTCCCTGGCAATTTTGTCTACTTCCCATAGCCAAGAGGATAACTATATGTTTTTCCTTGGGTTCACCTTCTTACTTAGCTTCTTTAGGTTCACCAATTCTGCATTTTATTTAACCACATTTTGTGACAGAAAAATCTCTTGTGTTTGGTAAGCTACAGTAATTTTTTTTTTTTTGAGACAGGGTTCCTCTGTGTAGCCCTAGCTATCCTGAAACTCCTTCTCTAGAGCAGGCTGACTTGAACTCAGAAATCCATCTGCCTCTGCCTCTGCCTCTGCCTCCTGAGTGCTGGGATTAAAGGCGTGCACCACCACTGCCCAGCGCTATAGCAATTTCTATCATCAAAATGTCAGGCTTATGTGGTCAGGTTGGAAGGAGCCATAGAACAAGTCAGAGGCTCCTGTAATGCTGGAAAGTAGGCCTGTTCCTGACCCTTATCCTATACAAGGTAGCATTTTGAGTTAGTGTACGTGAACCCCAGTGAGGGTAGTGACAGTGACCACTCAAAAGATTTGAGTCATTTGGCTTTCCAGAGGACAAAACTAGAAAGTTGAGTATTTGAGAAGGTAGGTTCAAGACCTGAAGCTTTGGAGAAGACTGTTCTTAGGTAAGGGATAGGTACTGATGGAGTCAGAAGAGTAGGAAGCACAAGTTACATATGTGGTTTGGGAAGGGACATGATCTAAATGTATACTTACTACAAAAAGTGAGAGGCAGATTCTCAATTTCACTGAGAAAGTTGTTTGCCAACTCCCGCATGGGTTGGGTTTTAGCTCTGCAGGTTCTGTACTTCCTACAGGGAACAAGCATGAAACAGCTCCTTGCTCTTTGTTGCGTTAGCCATTGAGACTGATGATCCTATATTCAGATGGTCTCAACCCTGGCTTTTTGACAAAGACAAATATCAGTGGGAGACGAGTGTCTAAGTCTTTCCAAGGGCTGGCATGTGCCTTCCTTCTTTTGTTTAGTTTGGCAAGATAGTTTAGAGAGCATATTGTCAGGGGCCTAAATGACATAGGAAGTAGGCTGCCTACCATTGTAAGCATAGGGAAAGGGGCAGAGAGACTTCTGAACAGAAGGACTAGCATATTGTGTCCTGACTGACTGGGCTTATGCTTAATTTGTTTCAGTGTGATGAATCATTTATTGCAGTTCTTTTTTAAGGTTGCTGTTGGTTCAAAAGAAAAGCTCTGGCTAGACGGTGGTGGCGCATACCTTTAATCCCAGCACTCAGGATGCAGAGGCAGGTGGATCTCTATGAGTTCGTGGCCAGCCTGGTCTACAAGAGCTAGTTCAAAGACAGGCTCCAAAGCTACAGAGAAACCCTGTCTCTAAAAACCAGATAGATAGATAGATAGATAGATAGATGATAGATAGATAGATAGATAGATAGATAGATAGATAGAAGCTTTGAAAAGGAGTCTGGAGTCTAATTCCCATTTCGTTCTGCTGAGCAGTTCTTCTCTGTTGCCAGGATTGAGATATTTTGCTTTTGAAGGAGATTGCCAAACTGCCCTCAGAAGTTTACTTGGGAAAGAAAGAGGTTTAATAAAGGCTCCTGGGTGTTGGCAGTGGGGCAGATGGCTGTACAAGTCTTTATCTCATAACCATGGTTTCCTTGTGAGCATCTCTCTGTTACAGGTTCTCGCCAGAAAATACAGACCTTCTTACAACTTTAGGATTACTCTACTTACAGGTAATGAAAACTGTTTTTCACACACTGGCATTAGAAATGCTTCAGTGTTTGTATCTGTGATGGTCTCTTTCATTTCTCTATGTGGCACATTTTACTAACAGTCACAGTGCACACATGAACCTTGGTTTGTTTTACATACTCATTGCTAGAAGAACTGACATTGGCTCTCAAGTCATAATTCTGTTTCAGTCTAGTATAATAACAATGCACACACACACACACACGAGACAGCTGTGTGGTTGGGGCTATCATCTTATTGCTGTGGGGAAGAAGGAGAATCTGACATACTTTACTATTTTGTGGGATTTTGAAGCCAAGATTGTTCTGCTGGTTCATCTTACTAGCCAAGGTCCTGCAGGAGAGAGAGAAGCAAGAGAAACCTCCCCTTCCTTTCAGATTCCTAAATGTCTGCCACTTCTGTCCACTTGAGTCCCCGAAGCCCCAGGTCTCTGTGCTGTCTTACCCTGCCTACCTGACAGGTCCCTGCTTAGCCTGTGTGTCTCTAAAGTAGCTTTTATAACTATTGCTTTAAGAAAAACCAAGAGTTTAGCTTTGGATCTGCTGGGCTTTGGCTTGTGAGCAGGCCCAAAGGGACATGAAGCTAACTATCACAGTCCCAGTCAGGAGGCATTAATATGGATCAGAATGAGTGTTTCTGAAATGGTTTTTTAGCAAAAGATACTTTAACCTTATCAGGAGAAAAAATAAGGCAATCTCACAAGTATGGAGATGTGCATTTTATTTGGTATACCCACTTTGTTTTTATTATTAGTTATTATTATGATTTTGGGGGTGGGCAGGGTCAAGAAAACTCACAAATGACTGCATGTTTCCATTCAGGGTACAGTTGGCTAGACTCCTGAACGTCACATCACCCCCTGAGGTAAATTCTTTGGTTTGCTTTCTTTCAAGCTCGGTGTTTACCAGAAGGCATTTGAACATCTTGGGAATGCACTGACTTATGACCCTGCCAACTACAAGGTATTGCAGGCTGTGGAACTACAGAGCCTTCCTGTGCATGGTCCCATGACCTCTAGAGATGATCAGACCCTAGGGAACAGAAGATGGGTTTCTCATTTTAAATACCCCAAAAGTTAAATTTGTGTGTATCTGGATGTTGGTGCTGGGGTACAAAACCAGAGCTTTATGTGTTCTAGGCAAGTAATCTACCACTGAGGTACATCCCTGTACCTGAAAACACTTTTTATATATAATTCTTACTTTTAAAAGTTAGTCCTTAACTCAAGGGTTAAGAGCACTGGCTGCTCTTCCAGTGGTCCATTCCCAGCAACCACATGGTGGCTCACAACCACCTGTAATGAGATCTGGTGCCCTCTTTTGGTGTGTAGGCATACATGTGGGCAGAATGCTGTATACATAATAAATAAGCAAATCTTAAAAAAAAAAGTTAGTTCTTACTGCAACTCTGGTAAAATGTTGATGCTCGACATCAGAAGAAGCACATTTGTGGTAACAAACTGCTGCAAAGACTGAGTGCCGTTAGAGTTCATTTGTTACTTGAGAATTTAGCCAATCTTCTACAACAACTTTTGAAGAAGAATGTCTTGATCCTAATGGATTTGAAATGACAAGTTCCAGATTGACCTGGGAGTGAGAAAGAAAATCAAGTGAATGAACATTACTGAGGAAGATGTAACTAGATTGGGCTGTTAGCTCGGTCATCATTTAGGAAGTCAGTACCCTGGCTCTGTGGGCTACACCTTGACTGACACCTTTCCTTAAAGAGATGATAGGGCTGGACTGATAAAAACTAAAGCCAAGCCAGGCATAGTGGCACACACCTTTAATCCCAGCATTTGGGAAGTAGAAACAGATCGATGTCTGTGAGTTTGGGGCCAAACTGGTTGAGTTCCAGGACAACAGAGCTGTTACACAGAGAAACCCTGTATTGAAAAACCAAAAACAAACAAAAGAAAACCCCCCAAAAACTAAAGCCATCTCACATTACATCCTGAGCCAGAAAGAGCTGGGTATTAAGTAGCCATATACAGGTGTATGTGAGCTGTCTGGAGCAATTAGTGTACAAAGATGAAAGGCAGTAGTTACCAGAATACTGATTTCCCTAGCTAGAAAGAAACAAATGGAGTTAGATAGAGCCAATGACAGTATATGTTTTTCATGCTGTGGGATTCCAAAGACATTTTTTTTTCCTTTGGGAGGGGAGGGGTTCCAAACAGGGTTTCTCTGTAGCTTTGGAGCCTGTCCTGTAACTCATTCTGTAGACCAGGCTGGCCTCGAATTCACAGAGATCTGCCTTTGCCTCCTGAGTGCTGGGATTGAAGGTGTGCGCCACCACCACCTGGCTCCAAAAACATTTCTTAGGAGCACTTGCTTTAGTAGTTTGGAGAAGTTTCTTGTTCGTGTCTTGTGCTGATGGGCTTATATATACATGGCCTTGGACTTCTTGGATGATTGAATTACTAACTTTACATGCACTGTGTTTTTCAGGCCATCTTGGCAGCAGGCAGCATGATGCAGACTCATGGGGACTTTGATGTTGCCCTCACCAAATACAGAGTTGTAGCTTGTGCTATTCCAGAAAGTCCTCCACTTTGGAATAATATTGGAATGTGTTTCTTTGGCAAGAAGAAGTATGTGGCAGTGAGTGTTCCTTATAGTCCTTGTTTATACTTATCCATGTGGCTATTGAGTCTGCTGAGCTTGTCTTACCCTGGGTGGAATGCCCTTGTTTCTGCAGGCTATCAGCTGCCTAAAACGAGCCAATTACTTGGCACCCTTCGATTGGAAGATTCTGTACAATCTGGGCCTTGTCCATTTGACTATGCAGCAGTATGCATCAGCATTCCATTTTCTCAGTGCAGCTATCAACTTCCAGCCAAAGATGGGGGAACTCTACATGCTCTTGGCTGGTAAGGCACATCTATATAGAAACCCCTTCTTGTGAGTTATAATGATGGAAAAGTTATTTAGGATCATAGTCATTAGCTAAATGCCCTAACATAGACGTTCCTTTGGAGATCCTATAGGAATAAGAATTACTGCCTCACTTTGAAGAAGTTTAAAAGAAAAGGTGACCAAGTATCTGGTTGTTTTTAACTGAGGGATTTGAACTCAGTCTTAACAGGTTAAGTCAAGATCATCCACATCCATAGCTTTTTTTTTTTTTTTTTGAGACAGGGCCTTACTATGTGATCTCTGCTGGGCTGAAACATACCGGGGTCTCCAACTCAGAAATGTGCACGCCTCTGCTTCTAGAGTGCTGGGGTTAAAAGTGTGTACCACTATACCTAGCTTTTTATAAAAGGATTAAAAATTTATTTTTAATTATGTATATATGTGTATGTCTGTGTTAGTTTATACACATGTGAGTCTAGAAAAAGGCATTGGGTTCTTTGGAACTAAAGTTAGAGAGTTGTGAGCCATCTGATGTGGGAATGAGAACCAAATTTGGGGGTCTCTGCAAGAGCAGCCAGTGCTCTTAAGCACTGAGCCATCTCTCCAGACCCCCATAATTCTCCTCTTAACATGTTTTTTTTTCTTTTTCCTATTGGTGCTTTTTTGTTTGGTTGTTTTTTTTTTTTTTTTTTTTTTTTTTTTTTTTTTTTTTTTTTTGGGTGCTGGAAACTGAACCTTGGGCCTTGCATGTAGCTAGGTAAACACTCTACCACTGAGCTGTACTAACAGCCCTTATATACTCATATATACTGAACCTAATTTATTTGAGTTCAATAATTAAGAACCTGGGTATAAGGTGGAGTTCTGCCTCCACTACTAATTGTATATACTCAGGATCAATGTGAGGATTGTATGTATGGCTAAATATAATAAATGTTAAACCTTTGGAGTTTATCATGGTTACTAAATCATTTGTCTCTTTTCAAAAACAAACAAAAAAAACGAAACAAACATTTATACCACAGTGTACATATGGAGGTCAGAGGATAATTTGAGGGAGATGTTTGTCTCTTTTTGTCACATCATATGGGCCCTAGGGATCCAACTCAGGTCATTAGGCAGCAAACATCTCACCCACTGAGCTGTCCCATTGATCCCATTAGTACTTTTGTTAATATAACTGGTCTTTGGTAGTTCAGGTCAAATTAGATTATTCTAGTCCTAACTTCTATTTATACCATACAAAATAAATTAAAATTAAGGTGGGCAGAGGTGTCTATAAGCTTTTGAGGTAGGGGTAGGAAGATAATGAATTTGAATCTAGCCTGAGCTACATTAGTGAGACCCTGACACTGTCACAAACACAACAAAAATCACTTTAAAAAACTAATGAGCTGGGCAGTGGTGGTGCACGCCTTTAATCCCAGCACTCGGGGGGCAGAGGCAGGAGGATCTCTGTGAGTTCGAGGCCAGCCTGGTCTACAAGAGCTAGTTCTAGGACAGCTCCAAAAGCTACAAAGAAACCCTGTCTCAAAAAACCAAAACCAAAACAAAACAAAAAAAAAAAAACCCCCCAAAAAAACAAACCAACAAACTAATGAAATATTTCTTCTGGGGAGTATTTTCTGGTGTGTATTTTGGTCATTCCTGTGGTGTTTTCAATTTATGAGAGAAAGGTCGAAAGCAACTACATGGTTGTTTGGAGAACACCAGAATACAAAGCTAGTTCAAGTTTCAGGAGAGGCTCAGAGCCTTAGTGTAAGATAAGAGTGTCTCATCAGGGCAGAAGCATTAGTTCTAACTTGACAAAGTAGAGCCAGCCTCACACGGTCCTAAGGACAAACTAGACTTGAATGGCCACATAGTGTGTGTCTGTGGAATGACACAGGGTCCTTCTGTATTCCTTGTTCTCATAGTTGTCTGTTTGGCTGCTGGGAGGTGGAGTTGCCTTTAAGAATAGCTATTTTTAGGTATATTAGACTCTCAGGAAATCCTGATTTTGGATTAAAAAAAAAGGTTAATGTTCTGTGGCTCACTAAAAGTTTTAGAAATCATTGTGGAGAACATCATCTATAAGATGAGGATTCTTAGGTAGGGAACAGTGATGTGGTCACTGTATTTGTAAGTCAGCAAGAGGCTGGAGGCAGGTGGGGACAAATGGAGACCTTGGTTTGGGCTTGGACAAGGCAATACCTGAAAAGCTGTGGCAGAAGTAGGACGTTTGCTGAGGTGAGTGGTCTAAAGTATTAATTTTGCTAAGATGAGCTCTCCTGATTTTCTCTGTGGCAGTGGCTCTGACCAATCTGGAAGATACAGAAAATGCCAAGAGAGCTTATGCAGAAGCTGTCCGCCTGGATAAGTGAGCATTCTGTTCTATGGGGAAGGGCCAGGGAGTGTTATTCTGAAAAGTGTGCCATAAGACTAATGCTGCTGGAGTCAGCTTAGTCACTATGCAGGATAAATTTAGAAGGTTGTGGTTCTTAAGCAAGTAGAGCTTGGCAAGAATTAAAAGCCGTAGAAAACAACTTCCAGTTCTGAGCTCTGTAGTCAGGAATCTAAAGCAAGTTAAAAAGTTAGCAGCACTCTGGCTTGGGTTGCTGATAAGCTGTGAGCTAAACAGATTAGCATCTGGGACTCTGGGCTCATCTTAATCAAAAATAAACGAGATTCCTGGGGAAAGTTTATTCCACCAGCATCTGCTACACAACAGGTCTGGGATTTCTTGTTCAGCCCCTCCCTGGGAGGCTTTGTTGGTGCCAGGCTCAGTCCTTATCCTGTTTTGCTGCTTGGGCAGTTAGCTCCTTGACACTGGTTCATGGTTCAGTCATAACAGCACTTTGCTGTATAACGGGGACAACCCTATTTTTGTTTGGATTTCATATAATGAGAAGAATTTTCAAATGACTATAGCAGAGCCTTAGTCCCACAGAGTCCCTGTCTCTGCCACAGGTGTAACCCTTTAGTAAACCTCAACTATGCTGTGCTGCTGTATAACCAGGGTGAGAAAAAGGGTGCCCTGGCCCAGTACCAGGAGATGGAGAAGAAGGTCAACTTTCTTAAGGACAACAGTCCTCTGGAATTTGACTCTGAGGTATGTCTCTTATTAGCAATTATCATTATCATGTTATCATCATTATTACCATGTCTGTTATTAAGCAAACTGCTAGCAGATGAAAGGTATCATAAGCTCATGTTTCTTTCGGCTTCATGTTCATTACAGCATGAATTTGCCAGTTTTAGACAATTTACAGTCTTAGACAAATATTGCTTAGAAGAAAATAACAAAAGAATTCAGGTTTACTGAATTATTAGTTCTCACTAATACAGTTTATCAGGAACAGGCAGTTTGGCCAGTGAAGCATCAAACTTGAATTATTGCATTTTGAGATCCTGTAAGGAGTCCCCTTGGTATCCAGTAAGCAACTTCTATTCTCGGTTAAAGAATGATTTCCATAGGCCAAGCATGAAAACACTTGTAATCCCAGCATTTAAAAGTGATTTCCTTATTATAAGTACTTTCTCCTTCAACTGCTAGTACCAGCAGGCAGCTTGGCTCTGCTGATCTTGTCAATTGCTTTTTTTCTTCCCATGTGGGCACAAGATGGTAGAGATGGCTCAGAAGTTGGGAGCTGCCCTCCAGGTTGGAGAGGCACTGGTCTGGACCAAGCCAGTCAAAGATCTCAAGTCAAAGCACCGGACCAATTCAGCCAACAAATCTGCTTTCCAGCAACCTCTGGGCTCCAATCAAGCGCTAGGACAGGCGATGTCTTCAGCAGCGGCATACAGGAAGCTCCCTTCAGGTAGGAGGCTGCACAGAGCTCTGTGAAGACTTAGTGGAGAAAAGCTACTTCTATCAGCAGAGACCCCAACTTTGAGTAAGGCTTGCACACTGCAAACTCATGGCCAATTTAGTACTAGCCAAGGGGGAAAAGCCCAGAGTAGAAACCAGCATTTGTTTCTCAAGGGCACGCTGTTAGGCAGATAACAGTACAGGCAGGCTTAGCTGCGTAGTCAGTTTTTAGGTTTAGAAATGCATTATTAAGTGCATGCTGTTGTACATTTTCGCTTTAATTTTCACAAGCTTAATGTTTTATTCCTTCAGTTATGGGCAACCCTCCTAGCTGCAGGATGCACTACAGTCTTGATAGTCTCAGACAATACAGAGTTCCCTCTTAAATGATTTCTTATGAAATGGAATAACTAAGAATTCACGTTTTGTTTCTTTGCAAGGTGTTGTAGGAGGAGCCCAGCTCACAAAACCACCATCACTTCCATTGGAGCCAGAGCCCACTGTGGAGGCAAGTCCAACAGAAACATCTGAACAAAAGAAAGAAAAATAGCAAAAGGCACGAGAAAAACAGGATGACCCTGGAGTAGGGGGTCTCTTTGGTGAGACCATATAGAAGGTGGTCAGTCATAGGACCAGGCAGGTGGAGGCCAGCTCTGTTCCCTGGGTGAGCACTGCAGAATTCAAACAGAACCCAGGGTGCAGTGTGATGATCAGGAGGAGCATATAAGGCCCACGCAACTCTTGGCTGGCCCCATCATCTAGGAACAAGGGAGAAAACATGCTAGATAGGCTTGAGGCCCTGCGTGTATAGCTCCAAGAGTCAGCAAGGCAAATGATCAAAGATCATCACTCGATGAAGGACTTTTATGTTAATAAAGGGAAAGGGACCTCTTCAGTAGTGGTGGTGTAGCCCCATTTTCACTGGATTGTGGAAACATATCAGTCCCCACTGTAAACACAAACCTTGGATTAAGAACCTAGTTAAATAGGGCTCTCCCCTCCCCCTCCTTAGATTAAGTTGAGACCCAATCTGGAATGTATCCTAGCTATATTGGCTCAGAGAATCTAAAACAAGTCCCTGTTTTCATTCTTTAAAGAATGAAAGAGGTTAGACTCTGGAGCCAGATCATGACAGTATAATAAGTAGGAGTCAAGGCTGGTCTGGAATCGGCACCAAGGATTTAAAGAAAAGGGTGTGGGTAGGATGACTGAAGAATAGTTCAGTTGTTAGAGCTTCTGCTCAGTTTGCCAAGGCCCTGGGTTTGATCCCTAGTACAGCTGAAAAAAGAACAGAGCTCTTAGCCAAAGAATTTTAACCAAGACAATCAACGATAAATGCTGACAGATGCTCTCCTGGCCCATTAGTGGCCTTTGTAAAGATTATGGACCACAAAGAGGTCTCATTAAAAGCTTTTTAAAAAACCAAAAACCTGTGATCACTGTCTTTTTTGTTTGTTTTTTTTACCTATTTCCAGGCCTGGTTTGAAACTATAACCACCTCCGAGCCAAGTTGGTCTTAGCTATAGTGCAGCTTCACAGCAGCCTAGAAGTTGGCCCCTGGAGGCAGTCCCAGTTTTCACTAGAGCTGGCAGCTAGAAAACTGACACACTGTCAAGCCAGAGTGTGGAGTTTGGCTGGGTCTGATTTGACAGTACTGAACAGAGGCCTTCTTCAGTTTCCTCATCTCTGATGGCAAGCATGGTAATTCCTTTGCCCAGGTAGCAGATTTGTCATGGAGTAATCAAGAAAACTCACCTCTACATCAGCATGAAGGGTAGTACAGACTAAATTGATTGACTAAAACTAAAAGGTGTTGGTGAGAAATAATAAGGGTATAGGCTTAGAGGGAGAGGAGAGGAAAAAAAGGCGAAGAAAGAAAAAAAGAAAGAAACATGAAAGAAACCCAAGCGCTAAATCCGAAGAAAGGAGGGTCTGGTTGTAGGCGGCAAATGAGAAGAGGCTATATAGGTAAGTAGATACTCATGTGGACTAGGAATATGGATGACTAGGATCAAGGACTTTTCAAGTCTGGTTATAAGCTGGTCTGTCGTTGCGGTAACCCAATGATACCTTCTAGACACCTAAATCACCTGACTTGAGAAAGAAGTCTGTTTAAAAGTTCTGCTAGAGAAGAACCTGTAGGTTGCAGCCCCTTTTGGTGTCAAACAACCCTTTTACAAGGGCCGCATATCAGATATCCTGCATATCAGATAGTGCACATTATGATTCATAATACTAGCAAAATACTTGTCAGGTAGCAACAAAATCATTTTATGGTTGGGGTCAGCACAACATGAGGAACTGTATTAAAGTGTTGCAGCGTTAGGAGGTTGAGAACCACTGAGCTAGAGGAATCTGGATTTTTGTGCTAGCTGAAGAGCATGGGCTTAGAAAGTCTTTTTAAGATGAAGGCAGAAACAGAAAAAGGAAAACAAGCCTGGCAGTGGTGGCACACACCTTTAATCCCAGCACTAAGGAGGCAGTGATAGGTGGAGCTTTGTGGGTTTGAGGCCAGCCTCAACAAAACAAAACAAAACATCAAAAAGGAAGGAAGGAAAGAAGGAAGGAAAGAAGGAAGGAAAGAAGGAAGGAAAGGGGAAACAGTTATTCAAAGAGAAAAACAAGGTGTGGTGTTATGGAAGGTAAAAAGAGAGTTCAGGAAGAGAGGGGTCAGTCTCAGGAGTGTGTCTGCCACAAAGTATCTGTCAGAAAGAGCAAGTCTATTGGGGAGGAACCTATAGTTGGGAAAGAAAACCCATTTCAGAAGGTACATGCCAGGCTGCGCAGGATTAGAACCTGTGACTGGACATAGCCCCTGATCATTCCTCACCAAGCAAGGATGCACCCTTGGAGAAGCAGTGGTGGCAACAGAAGCCCATGAAGAGATTAAACTACTCATTTTATAAAAAGTAGAAGGGAAACTAAGATTTTTCTGAATTCCTTACTCTGAGAGGACTTTAAATATTTTTAAGACAGGGTCTCATGTAGTCCAGGCTAGCCTCAAACTCAATATATAGCTGAGAGAATAACCTCTACACCTGGTCTTCCTGTCTGTACCTTCAAATGCTGTGGCTAACAGGTGTGTGCCACCACCCCTGGCTAAAATCTTAGTGTCTGAGGGCAGACGGGCACAGTGCTATTCTCTTCAGGTGAAGTTGGTTGAAACTAAGAGGCCTGCTCATTTCCCCATTCCTCAGGGGCAACACGGCACCTTTCTTCCAGGAATAGTCACAGGCAATGCTTTCCATAGTGCTTGGACTTAGGCTTTCTTAGGTAACAGGCTGCACATGTCCATTCTTCTGCGTGTCTGCATTCAGTTTCTCATTCATCCTGAAAAGAATAAAAAGTTACTCTATGAAGGGAGCTCACAGCACAGTTTTAACAGAAAATAAGACCAAAATGATAATCACAGATACAGTTATGGCTTTGAGCCTTTGGAAAGACCGAAACCCAAAACATTGACAATACTAAGTGCTAGCAAGGCTTGAGCATAGGTACCTTGGAACTAAATTTGACATATTCTTTAAAAACTAAACAAACTGAACATATAATCCAAGAGTCACACTTAACGTATTTGCTGAAATGAATTGGAACTAATCACAATCCACCACACAGATGCCCAAACCTGGAAGCAAATCAAGATATCTACAAGTAAGTAGGTAAATAAATTTCAGTAGAGCCATACAGAAGGAAGAGTACAAAATGGAGCTGAATCAGGCTGAGAAAATCTATGGTTAGTGCATAATACTAAGTGAAAACCAGTTTGAAATACCCACAAACTGCTTGATCCCAATGATGATCTGGATATCTATCTAGTCATTCCACAATGTGAGCAGTATTTCAAAACTATGTTATTCACACACAACACACACATATACACAAAATAAAAAATAAACCTGTCCTCAGATTAACACTGCATAGGAATTAAGTCAAACTCCATTACAGACCTAACTGTAAACACTGAAGTTATAAAGTGCCACGAACCCCCCACCTGAGACTGCGTGGATTATGTGTCATGTTTCCCAGGGAAGACAACTGTTAGGACATTAACATTAGGCTGAAGCTTGGAGAAAACAGACCTAACAAAGACCTTATGAGACCTGACAACATGAAGAAATCGTACAACTCAATAATAAACAAACATCACACCAACCCAACACCCAATTAGGACAAAGTGTGCAACTTCACAGAGGGAAGTATAGGAGTGGCCAATGAGCACTAGTGCCTAGCGTTTGTCATGTGAGAAACAGAAAAAGCAGTCATTACCCACCAGAATAGCTCCAACTGAACACTGAAAACTCCCACTGTTAGCAAGAACAAGACAGAATCAGAACTTGTCAGCAGGCATGTAGTCTAGCCTGGCAATTCTGGTCCTACAGTTTCTCATCTGAGAAGAACCTATTCAAGCTCTTGGTAAGAGATTCTTTACCTCAAAGTGGGACCTTGTATGTACTTATAGCCACAAAATACGGAGCTGTACGAAACACGCATGACTCTATATTGTTTTGTTTTTTTGTTTTTGTTTTTCAAGACAGGGTTTCTCTGTAGCTTTTGAGGCTGTCCTGGATCTAGCTCTTGTAAACCAGGCTGGCCTTGAAGTCACAGAGATCCACCTGCCTCTGCCTCCCGAGTGCTAGGATTAAAGGCATGTGCCACCACTGCAGGACTCTCTATATTTAATGAGTAGCTTTATACAGGACTAGACAGTGGAGGGAAAAAATAGTTGACTAGGGGTCAGGGTTAGGGATGGGATGACTTGAAGGAGGCATGGAGGATTTAGCCGGTGATGGAAATACATTTGCTGAGACTTACCAAGTGATAAATCGTGCAGCTTCATCACGTAAATTTTTAACCTAAAACACAACAAAACAAGAAAAAGCTGTATCACAACAACAGCTTTCAAATGACTTAAAGTGGTCTTAGGCCCAGAGGTTGCCTGTTCAGCTTAGTGAGAAGTGATTATTAAAATTATGTGCTGTATACTGTGTTAAATTCGTGCAGAGTGCATCTGTCTCCTCTATAAACAACCCCGAGAGGAAGGTACCATGATAGCCCCATTTTACAGCTAAGTGAGGCAAGCCAAGGGAACCTGTTAGACAGCATTATCAAGTAACAATCGCCAACTCAACTACCCTTTATGAATTTGGATTATGCCTATTGATGTGTACCCCTGCCTTAAGCCCCTCAGTAAGAGAATAAAATGCAGACTCAATGTGATGATAAGGGTTACCTGTCTTTGACTGCCATCTTATCTTCTAGTGGTATTGCAGGCTGTAGCTTTTCCCAGGTTAAATCAATTTCAAAGGAGCATACCTGGGCATGTACAGTTTCTAGGTGGCCCTTTGTCTCCTTATAAACCCTGTGTGGAAACCTGAGTTTGGGGTTGAGGAGCACAGCCCCACCTGTTGAGTTCCACCCACCTCTGCACATTCATCCCAGGTATCAGATTCTAGTCTTGCTTTTATGGCTTAGCCTCTTTCACAGAAAGGCATTCTGCAGACAGGTGTATGCCCTGGGCATTCAATCTATACAATACAGTAAAACCTTCTAACATACATTCTGGTACATTTTACTCTCATCAAAAATTGACCTATCAATTTTAGACAATTTATTTATTTTGTTTTGGCAGTGTAGGTGCTGGGATCTGAACTGGGTCTTCCTCACTGCAGTAGGCACTCTCCAGCTTCCTGGATCTAGTAACCATTAATGCCCAAGGCCCATCTGTGACAAACACTTGGAGGGGCTGGGGCTGGAGTGTGGTGCCAAAGCTGGCCCTGCTAATTCTCAGGGGGCAGCAAACATGCCAGTGGCGTAGGTGGTGCTCACCACACCTGTCACTATAGTCTTTATTGGTATTACCAGCAAAACCCAGAGAGGTGTTTGAGACTATAGTCTCAAATTTGACAGAAGCTGAACAAATAAAGACCAAGGGAAAGAACACATGAGAGCTTACAAAGTCTTGGCCTTAAGAAAGTTATCTCGCTGGGCCGTGGTGGCGCACGCCTTTAATCCCAGCACTCGGGAGGCAGAGGCAGGCGGATCTCTGTGAGTTCGAGGCCAGCCTGGTCTACAAGAGCTAGTTCCAGGACAGGAACCAAAAGCTACGGAGAAACCCTGTCTCGAAAATCCGAAAAAAAAAAAAAAAAAGAAAGTTATCTCCTCTCACTTCAGCTTCCTGAAATGCTGAAGCCCTGGTGGTGCTCACCTGAATCTCAGAACTTAGGTGACTTAAAAAGAAAAGGCGTAGAAACTTTTTTTTTTTTTTGAGACAGGGTCTAACTGTAGATCAGGCTGGCCTCAAACTCAAAGATCTGCTTGTTTCTGCCTCCCAGAAAACTAATTTTAACTGAGCTTCTTTGGAGGTGGAGGATTAAACGACAGCCACCAGTATCCTTAATGTTTGCTTTCAATTTCAAGATTCATATTTGTGTAGACTTCAGTTTTCTCTAAAACAGAGCAGACTTTCCCGCTTACCCAGAGCAGAGAGGGTAGTTTGCGATCCCACGAGCCGCTGCAGGGCTGGCGTGAATGGCTCCTGTCCTGTGCCACTCACATCTTGCTCTTTGAACTAGGAAGCTTTTGGCTCTTTGACATGGCTATGCTTTCACTTATCCTGAAGGCAGCTCCACAGCAGAAGCTTCTGAGACTTTGATCCTGACAAGCCTACTGCTAGGGCTCAGCTCGGGGGCTACCCTAACCCATTGGCAGGAACAAAGAACAAAGGCCTCAGCAGCCAAGTGCCATGCAAGTCACTAGATCTGTTCAGAGTGAGATGAGAACAAAATCGGTTAGACTCAGGATCCCTGAAATGTAAATTCTTTTATTATTTTTAAAAGCACACAGAAATCTTGATTTATTAAAAAAATATACAACATGACACATTTATTCATGATCTTGGGGCTCTTATGAGGTCAAACTCTTTAATGGCGGTGTCAAAGCAAACACGAAACACGTGTTCTACATAGAAGCACATTCCAGTTATAAAGCGGATCTCTTCAAGGCTCAGGAGGAACAAGTACCAGGGTTCTGCTGTAGAGAGCTCTTCCAGGGCTGAACAATGGGGCTGACTGAGTCCAGCCAGCCCCAGTCTATGGAGCTGGGGCAGGAAGGCATGGTCCTTCCAAGCAAGTTTAGATTGATGAGGCGGCTCAGGCCTTGCCAGTATCTCCAGTCTGAGATCATAAAGCACAGGACAGTTTTATCCTTTCTTGTGGCTCTGACCTATGTCTGAGCAGGAGGCTGAGAAGGAATGCACATCAAATATTGTCACTGTAACACTGAATGGACAGCTTGATTCTGCCCAGGAACATAAGCTTTATGAGCAGTCAGGCTTGTGGGGAGGGGCTGCCCTTCTCTAGTGGGCAAGGAGAAAAGTGCTCTCTGTGGCTGGATGAGCTCTCCAGAGTTAAATGTCATGTAACACCTGGTGGTACATCAACTGGGGACTCAGGAATAGAGGCTCTAACCTTTGTAACACAACATAAAAAACAAAAATCTCATTAATACATGACTAAGTTTCAATTAAACCTGAAGTGTTTTTATGCAATTGCCAACAGGCTGGAATGTATCTGTACAGTTTAATCTGCTGTGATTTCTTTGGCTGTCTTCCAATTAGGTCTAGGAACTGTTCTGACACCCACAGCCTATTTTCCAAGCTATATTATTCCTGGAATTCTGAAGATGGGTGGTTTTCATTCCTCACGCGAACTGCCTACAGTCTTCCTAATCAGGATGTGCTTCTGAATAGAAGAGGCCTTCAGCTGAAATGGCATCACCAAGGCCCACAGTTCGAATGGGGTCTTTACACACCAACACAGGTGTGAAATGGAAGGTTATTCCCTCCCTATGCCACTCCACCACTGGCTTATTTGGGTTTAATACAATTCTGGAGCCGGACTCTGAATGGGATGTCATGAACTCTTGAGGTGCTCTTAGAGATACTCGGCTGGCATCTATGGTTTCTGTGGCGCAGGCTTGTGTCCCAGCCACACGAGCTCCTGCAGCCACAGCCGCAAGCTGGTTGGCCCAGTGTCCATCCACAGTTGCCAGGATGTGGTAGACCAGTGTGTGGAAATGGATCCTGGTGAGATCTGAGGATCTGGTTTTACTCCTTCCATGTTCCTTCAAGATCCAGAAGAGAATGTCACTGACCATGCCCACATCAGGAACACCATCCCAGGAGGAGAGAGAAGCATGAGGTCCAGATGCTGACTGGCTGAGAAACAACAGCTCCTGTTCATTCAGCCCAAGAGAAGTCACTGCGGGAAAGACCTGCTAACAAAAATAATGACAGGTCTCTTTTTGGTGGACACAACCTAGCTCCTGGTATATTAGTATTAGGACACAGCCAATGATGAAATGTCAGGCAGGGACCATCTTTCTTCTTACCATGGCCCGTCTCTGAAACCAGTTTCACGAATTAAATCTGTTTCCACTTCATGAATACTTGGGAAACTGTATAGAGTTGCCTCAATACCCTCTAGACCTAGACTTGCTATATGTCCCTGTAGAAAGGGCTTAGACTTGCTGTGCCTTTGCCTCTGCACATAGATCAGATACTCTCACCATTGAGAGCTCATGGGTGTCAGCAGGCATCCTGCCTGTTAAACTTCCGTGTTTTCTTACCAATGCATAAAATAAGACTGGAGTTACAAATGAAACTGATGAGATTGCTGAGCAGGTATGGGGTGGAAGCAGATGTCACCCCAGATCTTTTCACACTATCTGGTGTAAGTTCATATGTCACCTAAGCTCATAAAGCTAATGAGTAGCTAAGCTAACGTGCCAGCCCAGGTGTGGAACGCCTATGTTTAGGCCTGACTCAGTGGGACTTATCCAAATCATCCCTGCTGTCTAGAGGGAGGTAACCTAAGATACCTAGCACTAGGGAGTCATGTTTACCTAAAGTTTGTGTTGAATTAAAAGGAGCTGACTTGGGCTTTCAGCTTTGCCTCTGAAATCTACAAAACAAACAAACAAAATCCCCCAACACTCTTCACTTCAACATCCTCTCTCCAAAGGAAGAAACATGTGTCAGGCCATGGGTTATTCTGCCACAGTCCTAACCCAGTAGGAAATATTATTCCAACAGTCCTTGATCCATTCTGGCTCATCCACACTTAGATCTTAGTGACACAACGCCTACATGTCAGTTAGTAAACCTGTCAGAGCCCAGACATCTCATCTCCTGGGAGAACGGAACTTCCCTTTGAGGCCCCAGGCTAGAGGCAGCCAGTGAATGGCCCATGTGGTTACCTGATGCACAATGCTGCTCATGAGCTCCCTGTTGGTCATACTGGCCAGCTCTAGATGAATTGGAATACCAGTGGGGATGTCAGAAATGGAGGTCACGACCTGCAGAGAGGACAACAGCAGTGCCATTAGGATAGAAGTCAGGCAGAAGGGAGGGCAAGATTAGGTCCTGAGTAGCCGGGATGTACTCGAAACACCCTTTGTGTCCTCATGAACTGGGTCCCCACCTCCTCTGTGAACAATGGCTGCTTTTCCCCAATAGAAAAACTCTACTCTGTAGGGAGCAACCAGGGCTTTAGAATCAGAGGACACAGAACTGCACCCGTATGTTCATGTCTCCTATTCCTGGGACCTAATCTGAGCCGTTGGCCCCAATGTATACAAACCTGCATGAAGCACAGCATAGCTGGTGTGAAGTGAGATGGTACGGAAAACACAGGACATAGCTACAAACCCTGCAGCTTGCAGCCACACTCAGTTAAGCACAGCATGTAGAGGCGCAGGCAAGATGTCTTCAATTGCCTTTCTCCTGCTACTACTTTGACAGAGCAGAGCCTAAGACAAGCCAGCATCAGCTAGAGGCTCAGTGGCAGGAGC